AGTGTTTATCTACCACTTAGCACATGTCAAATTTACTTTCTTTGAGGCTGAATAATATTCAGTTGTATATATAGACTACATGTTGCTATTTATTCATCCATAGATAAACAAAATAACTGTTTCCACTTTTTAGCATCTTAGCTTTTTGGGGGAGTGTTGGGGGTCAGGGGGCACTGCTTGGGATTGAACACAGGGCCTCAGTTGTGCCAGGAAAGCACTTTATCATTGAGCTACATACCAGACCATGCATTTTAGCTTGTTGAATAACACTGTTATGAACATGTTTATACAAATGCCTGCTTTAGTCCTTGCTTTTTAATATTCCAGTTATTTGTTAAGGGTATACTTTTAACTGATGTTGACTTCTTGAATTAAAGACTGAAGAATTAAACCATAGTAGATGTCAACCTTTCAGGATTGGTCCTTTCATTCTGTGTCTTTCTAACACAATCCAAGAATTACTTGAAAATGATATGAGCATTCAAATGGTTGAGCCCAAAACTGAGACTTCATGTTGGTATAAAGTGTCTTTGTCTGAAAACTCCAGAGGCCTCCCTTATTTTTCAATAGTTGTTCAAAGACGAGTCACCTCTTCATGTCCAAGTTCATCATTTACAAGGAAAACAGAATAAGAATCAAAACTGCCTCAAACTAGCCAATTTTCCAAAAATAAGTTTTACCTCCTCTGAAACATATGATCCCCAAGGATAATAGATAGATGCATAAAATTGGATTTCTGTTAAATAAAAGGAAGGAGAAACAGTCAACTACGTGTGTCTACCACACTCTAACAACATAAAACTGGGACACTTCACCTAAATTATTCTGATGTTACCAATATTCTAAAACTTACCTTGACTTAAATTCCAGGTGAAGATCCTATTTTTCACTCACTGTGGTATGAACCTCAACTAAACAACATAAGGTATTTTATCCATTCGTATTTAATTATTGCATATGTGCTTTTTCTTTTTCTTTTCCCTTTTTTTTTTTTTGTGAGGAAAGGGCTCTTGTTTACTAACTCTGCAAGGGCAGAGGCACATTCTGTTTTATTTGCCTCTATATTTTCAGCACACAGTAGGCTTATAGTACGTTTTCTTAAAAAAATTCTAATAAGTCCTTTAACATATTGGATTTGCTCCCTTGAAAGCACTTATATTAGATAATTCATTTAAATGTGTTAACTTTCCTATAGCCTATGTTGAAAAAAAGTCCTAAGCCCACTATCAATATTGTAAGTTAGTGTAGCTTCCTTCATTGATATTTCAAAGCCTCACTTAACTTTGTCATTCCTATTCTATGCAGTGTTTCCTCTTCCTTTTCTTACTCATGGCATATTTTCTTTTAATTTAACTTTTATCATTCTGAATTTTATGGCAGGCTAAAAAATTAGCTTCCATTCATGGTGGAAGAAATCTAATATTACTGTACTAGTTCAAAGCAAATGGTATAAAAAAGCCTCTTTCACAATTCTGGGCTACTTCCACATTTTCAAATCATCTTTAGTTCAAGAACCACAACATAGCTGGCCTTGATTCCATGCTATTTTCAATAACATATTTTACCAAAGTATGAATTAGAAGAACTGCTTAATTCACATTCACCCCGATTGAATTCTGGAAAAGATTTCAGACTTTGAAATCTTATCTTCCAACATAAATAGAAAAGAAATTCCTGAAAGGCAGGAATGGAAAATGATATTGATCATGAAAGACTTTTTACTCCCATCCCCTCTAAATCTCTTGCCTCCTGTTCTTGTTTCACAAAAACGCTCTGCACCTGGCTTCTATTTTGGTTCTTTGTTTCCTAGTGTGATTCCTCTGTGTTTCCTCTATCCTCCTTATATAAGCTTCACTTTGAGAAAATTTAACCTCCCTTCAGAGCTGGTCTTACTTTCAAGAAAACTTTTTTGTCCTTTCAGTGTTGAACCATTTCTTTCCTTGGAATCCAGACTGCAATCTGTGCTCTTCTAACTAAATTATTTCATCACAATCTCTCTCTCACATTAATCTATCTCCTTCACCAACTTATCCCAATTCCTATGAAGCAGAGGCCGTCACTGCTATGGTTTGGATATTTTATTTCCTAAATTTTCATAAACTGGAAGCCTGGTTTCCATGTATTCGTCTAGAACATGGTGGATTCTTAGGAGATGAGGCCTATTGAAAGGTGATTACATCATGAGGGCACCAGCCTCAGAAAGGATTAATGCTTTGTTTTTGATTTTTCAGGAGTGGGTCAGGACTCCTGGGACTGGATTAAGTCCCATAAGAATGGATTGTCAACCTTTCCTGGCTGTTTCTGCTGTCTTGCATACATGTACCATGTTGTAAGGTAGTCAAATGGCCCTTGCACAAGATGAATAAATGAAGCCACCCATTGTTGGGCTTTCAGCCTCCCAAACTGTGTGCTAAATAAACCTCTTTTCATTATAAAGATTCCCATTCTCAGGTATGTTGTTATAATATCACAAAATGCACTAATGCTACCACTTGGTAATTTTTCTTAATATAGCCATCTACCCACAATTTAATGGAATATTTTAGCACTTCAATTATTGTTTTCCTTTTCTCCACCATAATATTCTTCCATTAGCATAAGTGGCAATGTAAAAATACACTGGAATCTTCCAATCACAGTATCAGTTGACAATTGAGCATTGTCTTTTTATCATTTTTTTCATGGCTCCTGTGCTTTGCATTTTCCAAGTATACCTACTACCTCATAGAGCAATTTCTCTTCTTTCTGATCTCTAAGTGTCAAATTTCCAGGGTGTAGTCTTTGGATTTTAATGTTAAACAGTATTTTCTAGATGATTGCATCTCAGTCCACAATTTCTTTCTTAACTCTATATCAGCAACAGCAATACTCTTGCCAAAATCTTTGCTTTCATATTGAAAAAACTTTATAAACATAAAGTCTACTCAAATGAACTCTTGATTTCTGTCATTACAATACTTGAGGGAAGGACAAGGACTTCTTTAGAACAAAAGCTAAGTTATTCTTTTTTTTTTTTTTTTTTTTTTTGGTACTGGGGATTGGACCCACAGCCTTGTGCATGTGAAGCAAGCACTCTACCAACTGATCCACATCCCCAGCCAAAACTGACTCATTCTTGATTTTCCCTGGGTACTATGTAGAACCTGTTAGCAAATCCTTGTTCTTTTGACTTCCTTCTCAACATCTCCACAGCCCCCACTCATGGTTAAAGCCATGCTAACACTTTATCTGGGCTAGTAATGCATTGGGATCAACTTTTACTCCTCTCTAAAAGCACTTTTGTTTTGTTTTGTTTTGTTTTGTTACAAACTGCCAACCTCAAGGTATCAAGGATAATCCCTTTACATTGGATTAAGTCATACCATTGTTCCAAGTTACTCAAAGACTTTCTTTCCAACATAAATAGAAAAGAAATTCCATCTTCTAGCCCCAAGGAATATATCTCATCTCCACCCAGCCTTTCTCAGTCTTAAGGTCTCTTAAGCACCTACTGGCTATAGGGGTTTTACATTGGAATTCAGTTCCTTCTCTCAGGTTCCACAAATCTTGCTCTTATCCTTTATTCACATCATCATTTAAATTTTCCCCCCCGCAGAGAGCTCTTTTTAAACTTTCTAGCTGAAAACAGCACCATTCTGAAATTTTGTTCTTGTCTTAGAATTTATTGCTACATGACTATATTAAATAGTTTCCGATTTTACTCATCTATTTGTATCTTACACAGTTTATTTGCATTGCTCAGGGGGGAGCGTTTTTTTAATTGTTCTGAATTTAACCTCTAGAACAGTGTTTAACGCATTTTAAACATTCAAAAATATTTGTTAAAAAAACGATTGAACCAAATTAATTAATTATTCATTGGAATAAAACAAAAAAAAAGATAAGAATTGGCTACAGAGGGTTGTTACTCTAATTTATAAGTTGGACATAATGTGATGACAAATAGGTAAAACGCTTTTAGTTAAAACTGGGGATTCAGATCAGGTACCAGTATTGGCATTGTAGAAGAACTATTTTACGAGCACAACACACATCTTTTTTGCTTTGTTGACATTTCTTTTTCTTTATGAGGATGTTTGATACGTGATACAATTACTTGTAAAAAGAACTATATTCATCGTGTTGCTAGTAGTAGGGAAAAAAAGTAAAACTATAGATACACAAAAGCTAAATTTACCAGGGATATTTAGGTTTTGTGTTGGTGTATTTTTAGCAATGAAAATGACTATTAAGATACTCCCCCCCCAAAAAAAAAAAAAAACTGTAATTGAGAATAAAAATGAATAGACTTTAAATTTGTTCTCCAATAAAATGCAATGTTTTAACATACATTTCTTAGTAATGAAACTATTGCAACTATTTGTGTTGTCAAACTTTTAAATTATCATTAAACATTTTGATAAAATTAGAGAACTATTAAATATCATCAACTTTAGTCTTAAATATTATATTTAAAAATTCTAAATAGGTTAGGCATAATTTTTGAAATATGAAGGATTTTTTTAAATTTCAGTTAATTATTGACATCAGTAATGTTATTTTCTACATTAATTTAACAAACATTTAAATTTCAAAAAAATATTGTAGAACAAAATTATCGAACATTTTAAAATTATTTCTTCAAGTGGAAATCAGTTATTTTGTACTTGCCACTTGAAATTATATTTTGAGAATCTGAAGTTATCCTGAATTAAAACTATGAAAGGCATAAAAATATACTAAGAAAACAAACTTTTTAATGTTATTTATCATAAAAAATAAAAAAATTTTTCTCACTTATTAGTGAAAATAAAAAGAAAATTGCTTATATAGTCACCTCATATAAATACTCTGTGCCTTACTTTGAATAATTAAACTCATATATCTGCAATCTTCAGGCTTTTGTTTATACAATTTGAATAAGTACATAATTAATGCAAACCACATGGATATAGTTCATCTGCAGAACTGAAACCCTTTTCTTTCACTTCAGTGCTGTATCTTAGTATATTTTTTCATACCTTTACTCTGAGCACAGAAGCAAACATTCTTGCATCTTCAGATACTCCTCCAATGTAGAATCTTTTCTGAAACACTGGGGGATGATTATTTTCATCCTGAATCTCAATGTATACTTTAGCTATATTGCCTGGGAGACAAGAAATAAAACATTTTTATTAATGGTTATTCATTAGAAAAACAAATGCATAGAAATAAACACTTATCATACTTACAATAAAAATCATTCCTAAATGGATGCCTAATTCCCCAAATCCAGAGGATATCAATAATGACGCTTTTGTTATAATAATGTAAAATCGCCACTATTTCTTTTGGTTACAATGTCTTTATTTTAATTGATATAATGAATGCTAAAGTACTGTGCACTAAAGTACTGTGTGCGCTGCTATTTTTCCTTTTTTTTTTTTGGACTGGGGATTGAACTCAAGGGTAATTTACCACTAATCTACATCACCAGCCTTTTTGTTTTTGTTTTTTTGTTTTTTTGTTTTAATTAGTTAAACATGATAACAGAATGCACTTTGATACATCATATATAATGGAGTATAATTTCTCATTCTTGTGGTTGTGCCTGATGTAGAATCACACTGGTCATATAGTTATATATGTACATAGGGTAAGAATGTCTGATTCACTCTGCTATCCTTCCAAGATTTTTAATTAATTAAATTAAAAAAAATTGAGACCATGTTCCCTAAGTGGATAAGGGCCTTACTTATTAAGTTGCTGAAGCTGACCTTGAACTTGCCATTGGCCTGTCTGAGATTATGAGTCACTAGGATTACAGTGTGCAATACGTGCCTGGATTCAATGGTTCAAGTTCACAAACACTTCATACACATTACCAATTACATTAAAGCTGCAGATATATATAAACTCCTTCTGAAATAATAGACATTTCCATAAATAATGTATATCATATATTATTCTTATTTATAAAACTAGCAATAATAATCACCTTGTTTAAAACTACAATATAAGTTTTTATTTTATTTGATACTGGGGATTGAAACAGGGTGCTTAATCACTGAGACACATCCCCAGCCCTTTTTTATATTTTATTTAGAGACAGGGCCTCACTAAGTTGCCGAGGCTGGCTTTGAGCTCCCAATCTTTATGCCTCAGCTTACCTAAGGTTTTTGATTACAGGCATGTGCCATCGAGCCCAGCTTATTTTAAAAGTTAGAGACAGTTGGGTGAATTGCTTACTGCTATAAAATGAAAATATGTTTTATCATGTAATAAGGACTGTTTGCATTAGAAGCTAACATTCAGTGAAAAAATGTAACTTAAAAGATAATTATCATATGATTCATAAATGCTACATTTTGCCATTTAAATCATATAAAGTATACCATAAAGAACACATTCCCTCTCAACTGTTAGAAACAGCCCCACATTATCCCGTTAGTGAGAAATTGGCATTGGTCACTAGTCCAAGGGTGATGTTTCTGATACAAAAAGGATTCCAGTGTGTAAAAACAATGTCCAAGCCAGATAAAATGGAAAATAAATAATTATCAATTCTGCAAAAGTAGACTAAAATCAGCATTCCAACATGCTGCCTAAGGAAACTATTCTGATGCATCTTAATTATGATCAAATATATGGCAATTGATCTACAAACTATTTATTAGAAATACCTATTTTAACATTTTATTCTGTAATAAATGCCCTGTCTTAAGCTTTCAGTAATGAATACCAGTGAGTAGCACAGCCATACATAATAGGCATATTGGATATCTGAATTGATTGAATAATTAATGAGGAACCTGTCTTAGTAACAAAAAAGAAAGAGCTATTTTTTCCTTACTTTTTTTTTTAATAAGACAAACCCTAAGCTTTTGCCCGTATTCTGTTTCTCCTCTTTTCATTTCCCTCTGCTTCATTTCTTTCTCATAATCCTTAAACTGAAAAAGCTAGAATAAAAAGGAGAAATTTGCTAGGTCAACAAAGAAGGGAAGTAAAGTTTGTGGCTGATTATGCTTCTATGTTCTTCAGTTCTAGAATCCTGGCTTGCCCTTCAGTTAGCCACCATCAATCATAGTTTATCCAAAATAAAATCCAATTTTATCTTAGCAACATACCATTTTTACCACTAGAATCAAAGAAGTTAACAGCTACAAATTTAATATTTAAAGAAAAGGGAGGAATCCTAAACTATATCACTTTTCTGATAACACATTTCTTCCCTGTCATTCACAAATACATAAAATTAAGTCTGCTGTGCCTTTTTGGAATTCTGCATAAGATAGAGGTCTCAAAATCTAAACTAATTAAGGATGTCATTATTCTTCATTAAATGGGTAGTTTAAAATGCAAAAAAATCACCACCATGGTACCACATGATTGTAATTCCCAAGGTGTGGGAGGCTGAGGCAGGAGGATCACCAGTTCAAAGCCAGCTTTGACAATTTTGGGAGGCCCTAGTAATTCTGCGAGACTTTGTCTAAAAATAAAATGTAAAAAGGGCTGGGGTTTTTACTCAGTGGTTGAGCATCCCAGGGTGCTTATGGTAGTGTTTAAGCCCTGGTACCAAAAAAAATTTTTTAAAAAAGGAAAAGTTTACAAACTCAAATTTTATATATCTGCCTTATCAACAAGTAAATATCTTCTTTTTTAATATTTATTTTTTAGTTGTAGTTGGACACAATACCTTTATTCACTTATCTATTTTTATGGGGTGCTGAGGATCGAACCCAGGGTCCCACATGTACAAGGCAAGCGCTCTACCAGTGAGCCACAACCCCAGCTCTTAAATATGTTCTTAATAAATATTTCTTGTGCCATTTTTATCACAACCCCTTAGATTCCCATGTATGCAATTATTTTGGTGTTTTGTGTGTGTGATTATATATCACCTGCTTCCCTTGTCTTCTCTTTCCAATGTGTTCTGCATTCTGACATCACAGTGACTTTGCTAAATACAAGTATGACTCTTTAAATCAAATCAAGTATTAAAATTAACAGTCACTCATTTTTTCATTCTATCAATTGATTATTCATTCAATATATCTTTTGAGGGACTGTTGTGCATGAGCCACTCTAGATATTACTATGTGGAACAAGAAATAAAAGTTATGATATTAAAAACATAAAAAATCCATATCAAAAAGTTAGCATGAAACAGAAGGCTCTTAAAATTCTTACATGATTATCTGGTTCTATTTGTATTACCCTCTGAACATTATTACCAATGACAGATAATGTGAGCAATGCTGTGGATATGACTGTGTATGTACATGCACATCCTCCTTCTTCCCCTATGTACAGATCACCACAAACCACAGTGTGAGCCATTTTTAAGATCCAATAGAGTCTTGAAATCGCTCTGGAATTTTTGAGTTTGAAGGAATAGGGAGCAGGACAGTTTATATTAATATTCCCCTGCCTTCTCCCAAAGAAATTGAAAAATAAAGAAGGAGAATTTGCTTGTATTTAGGTAGGTAGTAAATATTTGAGTATGCTTTTCCATCTAAAACCACAAGGATTAACATTTCACTGAGAAATTTCCAAAACTTTCTAAATATTTACAAAACTTGGAGTTAAGAATATAGAGTGATAAAATGGGACTAATGAATGAAAATCTGCATCCAAACCATATCAAAAAATGTGGGTAAGTTGACTGAAATTAAATTAGTCACATTTAAAAATGGACTAAGGAAGTATTTTCATATGCCCATAGTTGAAAACATCCCTCACCTTCACCTCATAAAAGCATAAAATATTTAGAAATAGTATGAATGCAACCTGAGAAATTTTATTTCCATATAATTGAATACTGCTACCTTCAAAGATACTTGTAAAGCAAACTAGATTTTTACTAGCACAGAAGGAAGTGATTGTGCTCTGATCCACATGTTGGAATTATATGTTAATTACATCTAAATTATGTTGCATTCACATGTTGAAATATTACAAAATCATTAAAATAATGTTTTTGAAGAATATTCAATGACAGAAAAATATTTTGGATACAATACCAAGTATAAAGAGTGAGGTCATGATTTTAAACAAAGCACATATTATTAAAATTTGTACATATGTGTGTGATTGCATAGAAATAATTGGGAAAATATGGACTTTTTTAAATAGTAAAAATGTACAATTATATATCATCTTAATTTTCTTCATTATACATTTTCTCTAATTTTATTCTTATTACTTTTCTAACTAAGGAAAAATTAATGTAAAGTTGGAAAACTAGAAGTGTAAAGAAAACAAAAATTATAAAATAATGCATGCAAAAAATTAAACATATATATATTGAAATAAACTTCATTGGGTTCTTTCTACACTTTTCTAAAATGTCATCATTGTTCTCTGAATAGTCTGGGAATACCTACTATATATCTTTACTTTTTCTGAATCAAGAAGCCTGGCTAAAAACATACATTTCCCCCCCTGAAATAAATAAGAATTTGCATTCTACTTTGCTTATTTGTAAGAAGACATTTTCTAAGGTACATGTTATTTATTTGTGAAGATTTAACTACAAAACAATGACTAAACAGATAAGTGATTGTGCAAAAGATAATCTAATTATCTGTATATCTTTGCTTAGTTAGTAGTCATGTGGCATACAAAGTATTAAATAATTGTATTTTTGCAGAAATTTTAGAAGCAATTTAAAGTGAAGTAATTTAATTATAACTATTTAATGCCATTATCCTCACTTAATGTAGTTTTTGAAAAATATTTAATGAATACTTATCAACTAGGGGTTCATATTTCTTGTAATAGACCATTCAATCCAAATATTTTCTTTAATCCACTGAAAACAATTTTTGAAGCAACAGAGCTTTGTAAATTTCGAAAGCTCAGGTAATCAGCTACTTGTATTTTGGGGGACCAGTCAGTAAAAATAGAAATTAAAACTTTCATTATGATAGAAAGTAAAAATCTAGTACTGTAACTTTTAAATAATAGCCCAGTCTTCACACAATCCTCCATACTGCCCACCCAAGCTTTCTAGTTAAACACAACTGAGTCCTAAATATATATTTTTTTGAAATGGTAGAGTCGTTTTGTTGTTGTTGTGCATGTGTTCATGTGTATGGGTATTTTTTATTTATTTGTTTTGTTTTCTTTTTTTCCTGGCTACCAACATCCCTTTCTGCTTTATTT